GGGTTACTTCTGTGGTTCCCAGCCTCAGGACCTTTACAGAGAATTGGTTACCTATTGCTTACTTCCTGCCCACTGTAAAGTCACCGTGATTTACTGCCAGTACTTAATGCTTATCTTGTCAGGAAGGGGGCCTAGAATATTAAAGTATTTCCTGAGCAGAAGCAGAAAGCCAAGGTGTGTCTCAGAGCTTAAAATAGATTGATTGATTAGGCAACCATGATTTTGGCTGAGTATTTTCAAGATCTTGGCCCACTGAAGAGATTGAGTCCATGAGCTGCTCCAACCCAAACAATTCTTTCTTCTTAATTTCTCTATTTCTTTTCAAGAAAGTGTTCTGCTCTCAGTCAACCCAAAGCCCATCTTCTCTTTCTTCCTCAGCACATTCAATCAGCTATCAGGTCTCATTAGTTCTACTTTGTTAACTTAGGTAGATTTGCAGTGTTGTTCCATGGCTTTTTTTTTTTAATTAAAAAAAAAATTTAGGGACTTCCTGGTGGGCCAGTGGGTAAGATTTTTGCCTTCTGAAGCAGGGGATATGGGTTCAATCCCTGGTCAGGGAGCTAAGACCCCACATGAAAGTGAAAGTGTTAGTTACTCGGTTGTGTCTGACTCTTTTTGATCCCATGGACTGTAGCCCACTAGGTTCCTCTGTCCATGGGATTTCCCAGGCAAGAATACTGGAATGGGTTGCTGTTCCCTTCTCCAGGGGGTCTTCCCAACCCAGGGATCGAACCCAGATCTCCTGCTTTGTGGGTAGATTCTTTACCACCTAAACCACCAGGGAAGCTAAGATCTCACATGCCTTATGGACAACAAACCAAAACAAAACAGAAGCAATATTGTAACACATTCAGTAAAGACTTAAAAACATGGTCCACATCAAAAAATTTTATTTTATATCAGAGTAGAGTTGATTCACAGTGTTGTGTTAAGTTTCAGGTGTATCCAGTACTCATGAACTTTTGGATTTGGAATAAATCACTATATTCTCTGAGCCCTGGCATCTTCATAAGTAGAACAGGTTGATAATCCATTCAGCCTTCCTTACACGATTGTTGCCTCAATGAGATTTTATCATGGAAAGGAAAGAGCTTTGTCATTTGTGAAACACTGGCATCATTAGTGGTCACTGTTTCTATGATTTAATCTTCCGGTGTGACTGATGATCCCAGTTCGCCCTGGGCTGTTCAGTTTTATATCCTGAGCCTCAGCTCTGTGAAAACCAGGACGTTTGATCATCCTCCCCCTTCATCTCTGTTTCCTTTGCCTCTTCTCCAGTTCGCTTCCTTCCTATTGAGCATTTGAGACTTTCCAAGACCTCTCAGGCCTGTGGGCCAGTGGGTAAGATTTTTGCCTTCTGAAGCAGGGGATATGGGTTCAATCCCTGGTCAGGGAGCTAAGACCCCACATGAAAGTGAAAGTGTTAATTACTCGGTCGTGTCTGACTCTTTTTGATCCCATGGACTGTAGCCCACTAGGCTCCTCTGTCCATGGGATTTCCCAGGCAAGAATACTGGAATGGGTTGCTGTTCCCTTCTCCAGGGGGTCTTCCCAACCCAGGGATCGAACCCAGATCTCCTGCTTTGTGGGTAGATTCTTTACCACCTAAACCACCAGGGAAGCTAAGATCTCACATGCCTTATGGACAACAAACCAAAACAAAACAGAAGCAATATTGTAACACATTCAGTAAAGACTTAAAAACATGGTCCACATCAAAAAATTTTATTTTATATCAGAGTAGAGTTGATTCACAGTGTTGTGTTAAGTTTCAGGTGTATCCAGTACTCATGAACTTTTGGATTTGGAATAAATCACTATATTCTCTGAGCCCTGGCATCTTCATAAGTAAAACAGGTTGATAATCCATTCAGCCTTCCTTACACGATTGTTGCCTCAATGAGCTTTTATCATGGAAAGGAAAGAGCTTTGGCATTTGTGAAACACTGGCATCATTAGTGGTCACTGTTTCTGTGATTTAATCTTCTGGTGTGACTGATGATCCCAGTTCGCCCTGGGCTGTCCAGTTTTATATCCTGAGAAGCTCCTCAGCTCTGTGAAAACCAGGATGTTCGGTCATCCTCCCCCTTCATCTCTGTTTCCTTTGCCTCTTCTCCAGTTCGCTTCCTTCCTATTGAGCATTTGAGACTTTCCAAGACCTCTCAGGCCTGTCTCCACCAATGTTACTCACCTGTTACCACTGGCATGATTTCTCTGGAGGAGTGTATAGATGGAAAGAGAGATGCTTCTGCACAGTAAAACAGAACAGTTTCATGGGGACAGAGAGAAGGAGGGAGACAATGTAGGTATGATCGAAATTGCTGCTTAGGCAGGAAAAATGGTGGATGTTCTCCAGGCAGCTGGTGCAGAGTTGTTCTGCCAGGTTCCTGCTGGTACGAGGCTGACTGAAGCCCTCTGACCTCAGACTCACACTGTGCTGTGCTGGCCCCCAACCTTGTGGGACACTGCAGGAAGCAAAAACATTAAAGTCACTCTGGTCTGGGTTTGGGTCAGGGCCTGCTACGTAACTGGCAGAGCCCGCAGAAAGGACATGGGCTATGGAAGGTGAAAATGAGAGGCTCCATGTGGGGAATTAGATCTCTGCTTCCCATAAGATCATGCCCTAAGGGACTGCAAGCTCTCTGCAGGGACATTCCTGGTACCTGTGTGGGGGTGCGCAAGAGGCCCCCCTCTGACTCACCTGCTGAATGTGTGTGGCACTGCTAGCCCATGGCAAGGACAGGCACTGCCTTGCCTTATCCAGAGATGCTGAATGGCACACACCTGACATGAATTCTTCCCGTGCCCACAGGCCCACTGTAGGCAAAAGGCAGGCCCCTTCCTGCCAACAAGACCTCCTTGCTGGCCTGGGTGGAAGACCCAGTGCCTGTGGGTGGAGCGGGCAAGTCCAAGCAGCAGGCATCTGGGGTCAGGAAGCAGGAGGCCAAGAACCCATCCAGGGAGTCAGGGAGGTGGTGGAAAAGGAGAGTGCATATGAGCTGTGGGTTCCAAGCTCCAAGAATATGTGCCATTGGCCTATTAGACTTCATTTATAAAGCTCAACTTCAGAGATAAGGTTATTAAAACTTTCAAAATGGTGACAACTGGGACCCTTGACAGCACCAGGCACCATACGACTACATGGATTGCATACTCATGAAGCCAGCTGGTCCTAATTCTAGTTTGTCTACCTATTACCTAGAACAAGTCACATCTCCTTTCTGCCTCAGTCTCTTCACACGAGCACTGGACTGTCACACCTACTTCTCAGGGCTACTGTGGTAAATGGTATTTTATATATCATGCAGGACAGAAACTTCATATATAGTGCATTGACATACAGTTTAATAAGAACTCTAGCTTCTTGGTTCAAAATTGGGAAAGGAGTACAACAGGATTTTTTAACTTCAATGCAGAGTACATCATGCAAAATGTTGGGCTGGATGAATCACAAGCTGGAATCAAGATTGCCAGGAGAAATATTAGCAACCTTAGATATGCAGATTTCTCTAGTGGCAGAAGTGAGGAGGAACTAAAGAGCATCTTGATGAGGGTGAAAGAGGAGAGTGAAAATAGCTGGCTTGAAATTCAGCATTCAAAAAATTAAGATCATGGCTCTGGTCCCATCACTTCATGGCTAATAAAAACAGGGAAAGTGGAAGCACTTAAAGATTTTCTTTTCTTGGGCTCTGAAATCACTGGATGCTGACTGCAGCTATGAAATTAAAGACACTTGCTCATTGGAAGGAAAGCTATAACAAACCTACCAGCATATTAAAAAACAGAGGTACCACTTTGCTGACCAATGTCCGTATAGTCAAAGCTATGGTTTTTCCAGTGAAAGTGAAAGTCATCCAGTCATGTCTGACTCTTTGCAACCCCATGGACTATACAGTCTATGGAATTCTCCAGGCCAGAATACTAGAGTGGGTAGCCTTTCCCTTCTCCAGGGGATCTGGTTTTTCCAGTAGTCATGTATGGATGTGAGAGCTGGACCATTCAGAAGGCTGAACCAGAAACTTCAGTTCAGTTCAGTTCAGTTCAGTCACTCAGTCATGTCTGACTCTTTGCAACCCCGTGAATCACAGCACGCCAGGCCTCCCTGTCCATCACCAACTCCCAGAGTTTGCTCAAACTCATGCCCATCGAGTCGGTGATGTCATCCAGCCATCTCATCCTCTGTCATCCCCTTCTCCTGCCCCCAATCCCTCCCAGCATCAGGGTCTTTTCCAATGAGTCAGCTCTTCGCATCAGGTGGCCAAAGTACTGGAGTTTCAGTTTCAGCATCAGTCCTTCCAATGAACACCCAGGACTGATCTCCTTTAGGATGGACTGGTTGGATCTCCTTGCAGTCCAGGGGACTCTCAAGAGTCTTCTCCAACACCACAGTTCAAAAGCATCAATTTTTCGGTGCTCATCTTTCTTCACAGTAAAAACTTGATCAGGGTCAAATAGCTAGGAGTGGCAAGGCTGGTGTTTAAACCTCATTTTTTTTTCAATTTTTCCAAAGCCAAACACCTTACTACTACATTCTTTTCCAAACTTCTTTGGTGCTTTGAATGTTATTTAGTACACTCTGCTTTGCTGTTTAGGTATGCGGGTTCTTATCTCTTTCTCCTTCTTACTTGGAAGCAATGTGTCATTAGTGGCTGTGGTTTGCCTTGGATTCCCACAGAACCTCACAGGCAAGACGGGCTCAATAGGAACCACATGTGGGTTGAATGAATGCTTGAAAATGAATGAAGAGTGGCTCCACCTAACATGATGGTAAAGTTTATAGCCAATACCATCTCTCCTTTTTATTGTAGCTACCTCCTGGAAGGACTTGGCTATTCTGCCAGGCGTTTCGCTATGTGTGCTTCTCAAAGCAAAAGCAACCTTTTATTTTAAAAAGTGTTTTTAAATATCAAAACAGTGAACATTATTTTTCGTTTTTTTAATTAAAGTTTTTGTTTTTGTATTGGAGCATAGACATTAACAATGTTGTGATATTTTAAAAAAATAAACATTAAACTGGAGGTCATGTGCTTAAAAGCCAAGGTTGTTCTCTTTTGTTTGACCCAAATAAACTTCAAAATGGATTAACAAGTGCTTTGGCTTCTGAGGCATTATGGTAGTTGGAAGAGATTTTTTGAAAATAATAATCTTGGTGTTCAGGTTGGTGGCCTTAAAAAGGTCTTACAGCTTTTGGGAGATGTGTATAGGATAGAATCAGAGCTTCTTTGAAACTAGAAATTACAGGAGTAAGATTCTAGTACATTCTAACAGTACCATTCTTCTTATGAGCTTCTGCCAGTTGGTGCTAAGCTCACCAGATGAGCCATAATCATGGTATCTTTGGCCTAAAAATTGAACATACATGAAATAGTGTTTCATAAAATATATATTAGAAATTTGAGTGCATTTATTTCTTAGGGTATAAGGATTTCTTTTCCTTTTCCCCTTCTTTCATCCCTTTCTCTTTTAAAAGTTTTAAATGGACTCCTGTTGATTCTATGTGTTCCTCAAAGAAATGTGCCTAAACCAGCCAATCATGTTAAAGGTATTCATTGACTTCACTGTCTAATTGGAGGAAAAACAGTGCAGAGTGGGAACATATTCTTTGTTTCTCTTGAGAGCAAGTTAGACTTTGCATGTATGGAATTTCAGAATATTGATTTGCATAAAATAACTGCCACTTAGCTGTAACTAATAATTTTCCACTTGGTTGCATCTGACTGGATGGATCAAAGATGGATATCTAATCCAATCAGATTATTTCTGAATTGTTACCAAGGTATTAATTGTAGTCTGGAATATTTATTTAAATTTCTGTATTGTTACCCTGAAATTTTTGAATTGTTACCAATATGTTAATTGTAGTCTGGAATGTTTGTTTAAATTTAGATAATGAAATATTAGGAGCTCGGGAGAAAAGCGTTAGTCACTAAGTTGTGTCCAACTCTTTGTGACCCAATGGGTTATAGTCTGCCAGTCTTCTCTGTCCATGGAATTCTCCAGGCAAGAATACTGGAGTGGGTAGCCATTCCCTTCTCAGGAGAGGCAAAGAATAAGAGACACAAAGAAGGAATGAGAACATGAGAGACCCTGGGAGAAGTTATGTCTGAGGTCTTCTAGCCCATTCCAGGGAGTTTGGTTACTTTCAAAATGTGATTTTGAAAAAAAAAAATGTGATTTTGAATTTAATGCATTGTTTTCTCCTTCTGACAAATTTTCTATCTTTATTAAGCTGCTTCAAGTTGGTCACTTGCAAACCAAAGAAATTTGTGTATATATCCATCACTACTCTTACCATTTTGTTTTAAACTAGTCCATGGATCACTTTCCCCCATTAAATTGAGAGTTTCTCAAAGTTACAGACCTGTTTTTTCCTATCCTTTGTACTTTGCATATGTCTGGCACAGAAAGAAATTCAGTGATTGATTGAAAAAGATAAGGAAAGGGTAGGGAAACAGATGGCGCCCTGTAAACTTAATTCATTCATTGAGAAGATCTCCCTGTTAGAACAGTATACATAGTTGTCTGTCATTTTTAGATGGTATGAGTATACTATGATTCATCTCAGCTATATATCAAGTCATAACAGTACGTACACACACATATGTCTCCAGGATTCTGGGAAGTCATTGGGGCAATAAAAAGGGGAAATCATATTTCAAAAGCAAACTGGTGTTAGAGAGAGAAACTTAGCATATTGAGATACATATCTAGAAGTATTGATTCTTAAAAGGGAGTGAGAACAGAGAAACTGGCATGGGGACAGATAAAAGAGGAATGACTTTAGGCTTGGGAAGGCTTTAGTTCCCAGAACTGGCTCTAAGAGGGCTCCAGAATCTTCAGCATTTAGTGTGTGATATTGGTAAGTCCCCAATACCCAAGTCGGGGCCTATATGCATAGGGAACATTTTGTGTGGTCACATGGTTCCCTTGGGAGAGATGGAGGGTTGTTAAGAGCTGATTACCATGCCCAGGCACACTCATATGAATCTGCCAAACTCAATAGCTAAAGAGGCCTTGACATGTTTCCATTTCTGATTCTGTCCTTATAAAATGTGTTGCTAATTAAAATAACTGCCAGCTCAGACTTCTGCAAGAAAACCCATCCACGTGCTCAGAGACTGTTGTTTTCCATGTTCCTAGCTTTTGTTAAATAAATAAAAACTACAGAACCCAGCAGCAGAACCCAACTCTCCGGGACAGCTCAAGTGGGGAGGCAGGGGGCGGGTGATGGTGGTAGTGGTGGCTGCCCTGCATCTAAGTAATCAAGCAATACAATCATTCAACCTTCCTTTCAATAGAGGAGGAAAGGGTTAACCAGCAGATCCTACTGCTTCTACACAGTGCTATAGGCATGTTTGATTTGGCAAGTGGAAAAAGAAGTACAGAAACACATGTCCTGACAAAGTCAAGAATTATCAAATTGAATTCAATACTGTTACTGAATTGAATTTGGAGTATGTCTTTCTTCTTCATTTGAGCTGTAGTTTGTGCAGTGGTTTAAAAATTCATATCTATTCACTTTACTCCTTGCTATACTGCCTTCACTGACTTCCCATCACACTTTGCATAAAGTTGAAAGTCTTTTAACATAGCTAGAGGACCTTTTGCGATCCAGACCTCACTTGCTTCACTGGCTTCTGGTCTTATTGCTCACTCTTTAGCCATGCTTACAGTGCCCTGAAAATGATTGTCTCTTCCCTCCGTTCCTTTCACATGCTGTTCCATATACCTGGAATGCCCATACCACCCATCCTTATTCCCCTGGTAAACTCAAACAATTCTATTAATAAACTCAGATCAGGAGGCTGTTCCTTTTGTATATCATCCCTGACACCTCCACTTCCCCTACACCAAATATGGAGAGATGTCTCCTTTGAACTTTCCTGGCTCCTGTCCTATCCCTATGATGCCTGTGTGTGCTCAGTTGTGATATTATGTCTGACTGTTCGTAACCCCATGGACTGTAGCCCACCAGGCTTCTCTGTCCATTGGATTCTCCAGGCAAGAATACTGGAATGAGTTGCCATTTCCTCCTCCAGGGAATCTTCTTGACCCAGGGATTGACCATCTCTCCTGCATCTCCTGCATCTCCTGCATTGGCAAGCAGATTCTTTACCAGTGTATCACCTGGGAAGCCCTCCTATTGTGTCTACCATGTTATAATGGATATGAATGAAGGAAAGAATTGCTCCAGAGCTATGTTTAGAGTCAAAATCTCAGGGCACCCAAGACCCTAATGTTGCAGACCTCCCAACTGTCAAAATAGGGATTGCAAAGCTGAAATTGTACAGAGGACTGAGGACCAAAAGTACTAACCAGTTTTAGATGTGATGTTTGATTAGCTATGAAATGATAAATTTCATAAATTTCACTCATTCATAGTTTCAATTTTTTTAATTAAGAATTGCTTTGTGCTAGACCTACAGGGAATACTAGGGATTACAAATATGACTTTAACTGAGGTGGTTCCTTCTAGCCTGAAACTTACAACTTAGAAAGGCATATATATGTACATACATACAAGCAAAATTTTTAAACCACAAATTTAATTAAACCAACAAAGTAATAGCAAGGCATTAAATAAAGGCTATAATAGGAAAATCTAACCCGATCTGTGAGTCAAGGAATGCACCCCTGAAAAAGTGCTATTCAAGGTAAAATAGTAAGGATGCCATAGGAGTTCAGGGTAGGAGGGAAAGGACATCATAGAAAAGGAACAGCACCCGCAAAGACTCAAAAGCAGTCTTTGATGAGGGAGCAAGAAAGACCAATGGAACAGAGCTACAGATACGAAGGGAAAAGATGAGCCTGCAGAAGTCAATGGGATGCGATCATGCAGAGCCTCATAGATAGGGTAAGTCACTTGAATTTTACCAAAGTATAAATAGAAATCACTGAAAGGATTTTAAGCCAATTTTAAATCCACTTTGCAGTGTTAAAAATTATTTTGGCAGCGTTGTAGAGAGATGATTGGAAGATGTAAGAATGGAAGAGTAGACCAATTTAGAGGCAGTTACAGTATTTTCAGGAGAGACTGTGCCTCCCCCTAAAGCAGTTGAGGAAGTGATGCAGAAGAGTAGATACAGTCAAGAGATATTGAGGAACTAGAACCATTGGCCCCAGGAATTGATTAACAGTCAAGCAGGATGAGGTATCACCACTTGCCACAAATAAGTTCATTCAATTAACAAATAGTTATTAACTGGCTCTTATGTGCCAGATAAGCTAGTTGAGGGTGCTTTTCACAAGCCTCTGACTGCCTTCTCTCAAACATTACAATACAAATCTGTTTATAAGAGAGCATTAAAAAGTTTATTTCTGGTGCCTAGTTGATTGTAATACAAACTTTTAAAGGAAGATTTCCCACTAAGCTTTTGTCAGGTCATATGTTGAACTAATCACAACTCATAACCCCATTCCCACCCACTGCCACTGAAGACAGTTAATTCTCTTTCCATAAGTATGCCTTGCAGTCTTGCTTTGATGCATCATCATACACTTCTAGTGGTCCACTTAGGATATTCTGAGACTCTGTCCATCAGCCCTCTCTCCCTGACTTTTATGGGCAGGTAACACACTGAATTATGCCTCAGTCTCTTACTAACTGCATATTAAGCATGTTACTAACCTCCCTAACTTCAGGGTTTTCCTCTCTAAATAGGGTCAATTTATTCGATGTCAATATTATTAATCTCCTTTATGGGCAGTACAATGTATTGTGCTTCCAAATGTGACATAATATGAAGTAGATCTACTCACCTATGATGTTTTCTTGTCACAGACTTTTAACTAGATTATAGTCAAACCTTTAGGTCCATCTCCCAGCCTGCTGGAAACAAAAGCTATAGACAGTATAAGTGAATAAGTCCAGATAGTGGACATTCTACATAACAACATAATTTAAAAGAATTAAGAAAAGAGACATAATAACCAAATACAGTTCATTTGGTTATTGTAAAATAACCAAATGTTGTATGTAAAACTCAGATAACGTATTGATGTTTGGATTTGTTAAAAAGTGGAAAGATCTTTGTCTAGCTAGAAACCTGGTCCTCACATACAAGTTGTGATACTGGCTTAAACATAGTTCTGCAACTTGCATTCATAAAGAAGCTTTACTGGTGAGGTCAGATTGCCCACTAATTCAGGTTTCCTCCAAACAGAGGACATCTCTTAATAGCCTCCATCATTTTTCGTGCCTCTCATATCACGTGTCCATGGTATCAGTTCAGAAGGAATGTCATGAGCTAGATTTTAGGAAACCTTTCTTGTGTCCCCATCATCATGCTAGGCCCTTCACAAAGATTATAGTAGTTAGTCATCACAGCAATGTCATGAAGCAAGGGTTCCTGTCTCTGGTCTATGGATGGGGATAGCCAGGGATGTTATGTAACTTGCTTAAAGCCACACAGCTAGGAGAGGAATGGAAAAGAGCACCTCCAATGTTTAGGGCAATTAAAACTTGACTATGCTGATTATAGCCCTATTCCCTACCCCTCCTAAAAAGTTGTCACAGACTGGAAATAAAAATAGACTCATGCAAATATTTGCATACCTACTCTGGGTGTAAAGTTCATGCAATAAAACTTTGTTGGGGCAGCATGGGAAGAGAGATACTAAATGATGCACAGGTGGGTTTAGAAGAGAAAGCATATTCTCTTAAAAAATACCCTTCAGGGGATAACACGTCAAAATTGAAGTACCATGTTTGCAATAATGCCAAAAGCCATAAGACTGAGGAACCCCAGCAACAAAAAAAAAAACTGTCTCCTTAAACTTTCCCCAAGCCAAACACCTCTCCTGTGTCTTGTGCCCCTAACTCACCACAGTTAGGTCTTTCTGAGTGGAATAAGGAGGAGAATGAGATGATTGTGATGATGATTTTCTGGAGAAGTAGCTGTCAGGTTTTTTTTTTTTTTTTTTTGGTGCATTTTCTTTTGGAGAAGATGCATACTTTGGGGAATAAGGAGCGCAAATCTCAGTTGTATTCTAATGTGTGTAAACAGATCTCGGCCTTCACCTAGCACACCCACTGAGGTATGGCTGGGGCCTCTCATTTGGCCTCTTTGATTTCTTTCTTTCCTGGACAAACTCCTATTGTGTAGGAGCCCTGTGAAAACTTCAAAAAGCCCATTCAGGCTGAAATGTTTCTCAGTTCATTTTCACATTACTCACTCATCATTTCCAAAAGCCAGTAACTGGGGGAGCTCAAGTAATCTCAGTCACGTTTTCCCAACTGAAGCCCCACTTTCTATGACAGAGTTACAAACGTTTTTAGCTCCGCTTTGCATACATTCTAGAGAACTTCTTGGCAGGGTCTTTAAAGTGTGTTTTCATATTCTTTGGATTTCATCTTTGTAGCACAGCCTCATGGAAAAACATCACATTCCAAATGTGACTGGGAAGTTTCATTCACCACAGCGGTTGCCAATAACGTGTGGGGAGTTTATTGTCCCTCTAGCGAGCTCATCAAATCCAAACAAAATGTGTGCACTGTAATTTTAGCTGATTCATTTCCATAAGATGCAAGTTGATGCTATTTACAAGATACCCCAAGATCAATTTAAGAGTCTAAACTATGGTGGAATTAAATATACAATAGTTTTTGACTCAGTATATATCATTAGAATCCTAGTAGGAAACAAATGGCATGCTCAAAAGGGTTTAGTGGAATATAGTTTTGTGAAAAGAGTATTTAAGAGGCATGGGCGTAGTTAAGGGAATCGACAAGGAATGGTGAGGCACTCAGCAATTGTCAGCATCAGGAAGCTCTTGCTGCCTCAGGCAGAAGGGGTAAGGGGCAGGGCTTGGAGGGTGAGTGCCTAGGAAGTACTCTGGAAGGTCCAACGGGACCTGTAGCTGAGGAATGCGGCATGGCTCAGTACAGCAAGGCTGGATGGAAACAGGAGAATAAATTCCCCACCCTCTCCACTGTATCCTTTAAACACTTGCTGATGCCACCCATTGACCAAGCCCAGCTAGAAGCCAGAGAGCAAGGGAGACTGGGAATCATTGAGGTCAGTCTCCTGGGGGTAAGGGCAGAAATTGTCTTGGGGTATCCCATACTAACTTATTTCAGATTTTACTATGACAGAGTGGCATAATAGTGTGAACATAGGTTTAGGTGTCAGAAAGATCTGGATTCAAATTCTACCTACTAATAATCAGATATTGGGATCTTTTCTGGAGAAAACCAGTTGAACTGCTTCATGAGAGTTTCAGCTTACCTTCTCTGAGTTTCAGTTTCTTCATCGAGTAAAATGGAGATTATAATAACTACTTACCCACCTAAAGAGGTATTGTGAATATTAAACAAGTTGCCTAAGTAAAAGAGCTTGACACAGTGCTTGACACATGGAATGTATTTAGTATTTGTTGATTTCCTTCAGTTAGTCCTCCACCAGTTATCCCTTACAGGGTGAGATGTCTACCTTGTGAATGTTGAGGAACCGGTCTTTCTTTTCTCTTATTGAGTTCTTCCTGGAAGTCCCCTGATGAGTCACAGCTGGAGTAATGGATGGGACTTGTTTATTGGGGTCTCCCTGTCTGGAGAGAATCCATCATTTAGCTGGTGTCACTTCTCTGAAGAAAACCTATTGGGACATCTTCAAGAGAATTCTGGTTTTCTCTCTCCACAGGGACACTAGTTCTTAGGGAACTATTCACTGCAATGCTATTCTTTTTTTTTTTTTTTAAATTAACTTATTTATTGAAGGATAATTGCTTTACAGAATTTTGTTGTTTTCTGTGAAACCGCAACATGAATCAGCCGCAGGTATACATATATCCCCTCCCTTTTGAACCTCTCTCCCATGACCCTCCCTTGTCCCACCCCTCTAGGTTGATACAGAACCCCTGTCTGAGTTCCCTGAGCCACACAGCAAATTTCCATTGGCCGTCCATTTTACATGTGGTAATGTAAGTTTCCATGCTACTCTCTCCATCCATCTCAACCTCTCCTCCCCTCTCCCCACCTCTCCCCATGTCCATAAGTCTGTTCTCTACATCTGTTTCTCCATTGTTGTCCTGTAAATAAATTCTTCAGTACTACTTTTCTAGATTCCATATTTATGCACTAGAATATGGTATTTATCTTTCTTTTTCTGCCTTACTTCACTCTGTATAATAGGTTCTAGGTTCATCCACCTCATTAGAACTTCACCGTTTCTTCACCAAGTTTAATTCCCCATTCATAGGCTGATGCTCAAAAAACTTGTCCTTCCTCCTGGTGTCCACTAGCTGTTGATAAGGCATCAGCTGCTTTTCCAAGAACATGACCAATTCAGTTCCTGATAGTTAGGATTGTTTCTTTCTTACTTGAAGCTGCTAGGGGAGCTTTTGGTTTATTGTTGTTTGTTGTTATTAACATTTGACAGTTTTGGAACATGTGGAAATGTTTGGTTAGTTGTGAATTTTGATTCTACTCTTGGAAAAAGTACTGGTGACTGAAAAGCCAATTTCAACTGGTGATTGAAAATGAGGGTCACAAGAGTCACAATCATTGATTGCATTGGCTCAAACTAGAATTTATCTGCCCTGCATGATGCCTAATTCCCATAAACTTCCTGTAAGGTAGTCTTATCTTCATCTGAGAAAACAGAGGCTCAGATAGATGGAGTGACATGTCCAGCTGATAAGAGGTGAAGATGGACTAGAGATTGTAGCTGTATATGAATCAAAGCACAGAACTCTGTTTATCTCTGAGATGGTTACTGAGAGTCAACTGCAATAATTGTCATTCAGCTGTGGCCATTTAAAAATAAAAATTGTGAGACTGTGAGTTTCCTCATGACAAGGGGTAAGTCTAATTCATCTCTGTCTTTTCGCTGTTGACTACTTCGCCTCTGCCATAGAGTGGGTACCTGATGAAAGTTTGTTGAATGAAAAAATGAATGACTAAATGAACCATCCATACAAAGACATTTTTGTCTCTGTTGTATTTTTATAATGCATATTTATATTTCATTTGACAGTGTTTGCAAATTGCATAATATTACCCTTCAGCATAACTTGTAGCGTGGAAATGCTTCCATATGCTAGATGTTTCCCCTCATTTGACTGAGGGAGAAGAAAGACTAAGAAAAACATAACATAGTGGCTAGGCATCCATATAAACACAAATTACAGCATGTACTGTTCATGAACGGTGCATTTTAGAAGGGCGACTTTATGAAAATATTGAAGTAGGCATTAAATTTGGATTGATATTGGTTGGAAAAATGTTCCTGTGCAGCTAAATATAGTTTTATATTAATTCACTATGTTGTAGGAGGTATAAGATAGGGGAAAAGAATATGGGTCCTAGAGTAACTGCCTGTATTCATATCCAGGCTCGGCTATTTCATAGCTGTGTGACTTGGGCAACTTATTCAGTCTACTTGTGTCTTAGTTTAACCGCTTTGTAAAATGGAAATAAGAATGCTGTCTCCCTCATGAGAAGGTTGAACAAGCTAAATGAGTTAGTAAGGCTCAAAAAGTGTTATTGTCCCCAAGTCTTATGAAGTCTAGTTCAGTATGTCTTCATTCCCATTGTTGTTGTTTAGTCACTAAGTCGTGTTTGATTCTTTTGCGACCTCATGGACTATAACCTGCCAGGCTCCACTGTATCCCCATTATCTCTGTCTTATTTCAAGAACTCATCAAGTCTTGCCTGTCTTTCTTTACCTGCCCTCTCACGCTTCACATGGGGTCTAGAGTAAATCTTTGAAGACTCACATTGAACCAGACCCTTCACCTTCCTCAAGCAATATCATTATTCCCTGTCAACTTCATGACTAAGTACAAGCCTTTAGCATAATTTTCAAGGTCCTTCTTGAACTCATTCTTTTTTCCTCTCTTGGCCTCATCTCTCATCATTCCCACATGCACGCTATACTATAAGTATCAACAAATGTCCAGAGTGCAAAAAGTTATATTGGCTTGATGAGTAAGTAATATTTGAGTAAGAGGAGTGAGCGGCTGATTTTGCCCACGGGCTCATAGAACGCTTCAGAGAAGAGACATTTAAGTTGTATCTTGTAGAATAAGTTGATATTGGCCAAGCAAGGTAGAGTGGAATGTGATTGGGCAGATCATGTAGACTGAGGGAAGGATTTGTGCACAGGAACAGAAAAACAAGGTATATTCATGGATTGAGAACTTATCTAATGCTGAGTGGAGAGGGAGCATCAAAAAAGGCCCTTAAGTTTGGTATGAATACCTGGACAGAATGGTGATGTTGTTAATAGAGATGAGGAATATACAAGAGAAGGTATGTGGGGGATGTGTGTGTGTGTGTATGTGTGTTTTGAACTGGAAATAATAGGTGTCTGTTTTGTACAAAACTCAACTGAGAATAGCCAGTTCTAAACTCCTGATCATGTCCTCAATCACAATCTCCAGACCTGTTTCCCAGCAAATTTCCCCACCTTAGCAAATGGCAACTCTGTTCTTTAGTCTTCCATGATTCCTCTCTCTTAAATCCTACTTTTGATCCTTCAGCAAATTCTGCTGGCTTTTTCTTCAAAGTATATACAGTATATGACCATTTCTCACCATCTTCAAGGCTACCACTCTCAGCAAAACCATCATCATCTTTTATAAGATTATTGAAAGAGTCTCCTAAACTGCCTCCCTGTTTTCCACCTTCCCTCCTTCAGCCTGTTCTCAACTCAGCAGCCAGGATGGTCCTCTTAAAAAGAAGTCAGATCGTGACTCCTCTGTACTTAGCTTCTCAAAGGCATCTCCGTCTTACTTAGAGTGAAATCTCCAAGTATTTACAGTGGTGGTTTGCATGACTGAGCCTTCTCAGCCCCTGGCCCCGTTGTTACTTAGACTTCTTCTTCTCCTACTTCAGCCCTCTTTGGTGTCACACTAGCACATTGGATCTCTTAGTGTTCCTCAGATATGCTTGGAGTGCTTCTGTTTATAAGACTTTCCGATGACTGGTCTCCTGCCTAGAATGGTTTCCTCAAATGTCCATCTAATAAGCTCCATCAAATGCACTTCCTTCAGGCCTTCACTCCAATGCCATCTGCTCAGCGAGGCCTCCTCTGGCTACCTTATCTAAACTGCCTCCTCCCTTTTACATTTGATCTTCCAATCCCTCTCCTACTTCTGTGTATTTTTTCTTTAGCATGTATCACCATCTATCATACTCTATATTTCACCTTTAGATTTTATCTATTATTTGTCTCCATCTGCCTCCCACCCCCACTCTCTTGCATCTACAGTTGCTTGGTAGATTTTTGTTGAATGAAAGAATAAATGCAGGTGGGGTATAGCAGCATGTTACTGTGAGAATCTAGTACTCATGAGATAGATCAGGGTTAAACATAGATTTGGTAATTCTTAGCAATGAGTGACAGATAGGTGGGAGGAGCTAAGACAGAACAAGAAAAAGACATTTAATGAGATTTTTTAAAAGACTAACATAAAAATTGGGAAAAGAAATAAAAACTGTCAGATAAATATCAGAGTTGAGAACAATGGCTTTGGGATTACAGACTTGACTTAAAATCTTTTTTCCACCAATTATGAACTTTGTGACTATGGGCAAGTGACTAGATGATTCTTGGCCTTCGTGCTTTCAAGAGTAATTGAAAGAAAAAAGATTTCCACTTGAGAGGGCTAAGAGAATTGACCAATAAAATGCATAGAGATCAGTTAGCTGAAAATAAAGAATACAAGTGGTTGTTGTTGTTGATACTAGCACCATTATTATTTTCAAAATTCAGCAAAAAATTCTGAAAAATAGAAGGAGGAGAGCATAATGGAAGATAAGTGAGGAGAGGTCTTCAAGAAAGAATAAACTCTGCAGAGGCTGCTCTGTGGTCAAGGCCAGATCTCCTCGGACTATATAAGATCCTGTGTGCATGCAGACAGAGTTGCTTAGTTGTGTCTGACTCTGCAATCCCATGGACTGCAAATCTCCAAATCTCCTCTGGGATTTTCTGGGCAAGAATACTGGAATGGGAAGCCATTCCCTTCTCCAGGGGATCTTCCTGACCCAGGGATCGAACCTGGGTCTCCCTCATTGCAGGCAGATTCTTTACCATCTGAGCCACCGGGAAAGCCCATATAAGGCTGTGGGGTAGAGCTATTTGAGAGAACAATTTCACTTGAATCCAAAAGTCATAATCCCATATTATAAAATGAGCTAATGTTTCATGGAAAATAACAATTGTCCTAGAAAAAAAAAATAAAAAACAAAACAACATTGGACCCTCAATTGTGTCCAGCTGACAAATGTAGGAACATGGTGACCCAAAAATTTGCTCCTCTCTGGTCTTTGGGAGATTTACTTGCTCACTAGTCAGAACTAGTTTGCTGGTTTTATGAGGTTAAGCTATGGTGCAATACTGTTTAGCTGGCTCTGTGGGTGTTTATTTACAGATGGCTGCCATCTTGATTTATTGTCTGTCAAGTTATAATTATTAAGGATGAAGTTAATTGTCATTTCAACCATCTGGTAATTGCCCACTGTGCTTTCATGTGGTGACGAATCAGTCCTTTGGATCAAAACTGGAAGGTTCATAAGATATTTCATTTCCATGTTCATCTCCATTCATGTCTTGTTCAAAATAAGTGATTAGAGGAAATTATCAATACTTTTTAGTATAATTTGTGGGCCTCCAGTGAAAGAATTGCTGATTGTTGTAAATGTTTCTGAGTAGTAGGGCTGGTTTAACAAGAATCCAGTGATGTGAGCTATAGTAATTGAAATTAAAATAACGAGGCATGCTCTTTCAAAGGTTGGCCTAATAAAAAAAAAATTAACAATGTTCCAGTATATTCCATGGTGCCTCACTTGTAATGATGGTTTATAAGCCTCCTTATTTGTTTGCCCTATTGTTTATCAAAACCACTTTATCCGTATGCACTTCTGAACTTTTAGGACAGGAGGTAACAGAGTTGGTGAAGTTACCTTGTCTTACAGAGCCTCAATTACTTTGATTCAGGGCTATGAATGGGATAGTCTGCTTGGTTCTTTTTTTAGGATAGAACCAATGGGAACCAAGAGGAAGGGACATGTGTATGTCATAGGCGCTACCTCCCTCCTCTCATTTTTGGTGTCTGGTCCCCTGTTTGTGAACTTTTCCTTTTTTTGGCTTTTACTGGTGGGTATATTTTCACACATGATTTGCTAAATTGGTCAGCAGAGATCAAGCAGAAACTTGCCTGTGAAAGCACAGCCTTGTAATACTATTAGGTCTCATTATCTCTTTCGTCTCCGGAAACCTATATAGACCAAGGGTCTATAGAGGGAAGAAGCCTATATCCCCGACTCCTCAATATTTCCATGCAAAGTCACTTTCTAATTGACAGCTTAGTGTCCTTGGCACTTGTTCTACTGTGAGACTCAGTTCAGTTCAGTCAGTTGTTCAGTTGTGTCTGATTCTTTGTGACCCCATGGACTGCAGCACACCAGGTCCTTCACTTTGTAGGATTATGAATCAGTTAGTTGAGGAAGGAAAGTTCAAGGGCCAGAGGTGGGTATCCAGGACACCTGCTGTTTGTCACTGGGCTCAGGCATTTCCTGATGCCTCCTCAAAGATGCTGACCTGCGCTATAGGGTTTCCACTTCCTGGGTAATTCTCTGCGGGCAAGTGCCCTGACAGGCTGCTCCTGCCCTCATTTCCTCACTTACTTCATGAGGCCACAGCAAAGATCTCTTCTTACCCATGAGATCTCTTTATCTCTAGTATCTGTCTCTTTCAATCCACCTTCCATATTGCTGCCTGAGAGAGTTCTCAAAATCCTCTTGGTGCTTCTTCTAAGAGTCCAAAATGTTCACCATGACATTCAGTGGCCTCTATCATCCTCTGCTTATACCTGCAATCTGATGTTTCTATGCTTTCCCTTGTTGGATGATATTTCAGTGCCTTTCCATTGAAGGTTCCAACTGTCTTTTCCTTTTCCTGCCATTCATCTGGAGATCAGCAGTCACCTCCTCAGTGGAGTCTTCTGTGATCATCCCCACTTCCCTGGCAATTAATTCTTTTCTTTGCTGTATTATTTCTGTAACTTACATTTCTTTCTACTTTGCCATATCTTTTTTTTTGTCTACTTGTCTCCCTTCTGGGGTCCTCCAAAGTAGGATCTAGGATGGACATATTTCTGTCATCATAGAGCAGGAGCTCAATGATAGTTGATTACATTTTTGTTCAAGTCTTTGTACACCTCCCATTCTGTAGTGCAGTGCTGAGTGTGCAGGGGATACGAGATATATAGTTGCTGATAGATACTTATTAAACAGAGCTAAAATCTTGGCTAATGTTCTTGGTGCCAATGTTAGAGTACATAAGTGTCTTTATGGAAAAATAAGAACTGCCTTCATAGAGAAGAAGTTGACCCTTTATCCAAGACATACATGACAGCTGCTGATTGGAATAAAGGACAGATAATCATATCCAAATGGAAAGAAAAGAAGGCTTTGGTTTGGGTTAAGAGAAAACATTCTTTGCTAAATGTTAAGGAAATGGGATATGCATTTCTTTTTATGGTTAGTGTATATTTTTCTTTTATATGAGAGATTTCTGTGGGACTCAAAGGATGTTCTTTCCCCCCCCTTTCCCCCTCCTTCCATCCCTCCCACCCTCCATTCCCCCTTCCTTGCCTCCCTCCATCCCTCCCTCCCATCCTCTTTCCTTGCTACAAAGATAGGTAATCTTGGGCAAACATAGGGGGCTGCTAACTTCTATGCAGAAAAAATGGAGAATCTGTTCTCATGTTAGTACAATCCTTCTGATGGCAGACTAGGCCATCGCATCCCCAACCCAGGAATAGGACTGCAGTACACATTTGTGAGAAATTCTTTTCTTACCCTATGTCAACCTGAGGATCATTCGTCTTATTGGTCCTGCATGGAGATGGTTCCATGAATTTCTGGCAAACAGTCCCTCTTGGATGGAATCAAACCAGGAGTATATTTTTCTGAAATAAAGCTTCAAATGAAACTTGACTGGTTCTGTTTTGTTCTACTCTGATATCATCAGGAACCTTTTGAAACAAAGCAGACAGCTAGGTTCTAGAATGGTTTAAAAATTGTACTAATAGAGCAGACAATTCCTCACAGTCCTGTCATTCTCCCGGAACCATTAATTACTGTCCCAGTGGTTTATGTGTATAGATCTGTTATCTTCATATCAGAAAAGTACTGCTCGGTTTTCACTTCACAATCTTGTGAGAGTAGTTGCGGTCTATGCACCTCCAGCAGGAGGCAGTTGAGTGAGAAGGGTTCAGTTCAGGTGCAGGGACAGAAATGTGCTGGTCAGTTTGAGATTTGCCCTTTGACTTTCTGATATTGAACCCCATACTTCAGCACAGATCCTCTTTATTCTGTCTGTTCCAGGGTCAACACAGAAGTTAAAAAGAGAAGGGATGAATAGAACAGAAGGACATACTTAAATTTCTCATCAGAAAACAAGTGTATCACATTTCTTTTCCGTAAAGCACTGGGTCTGAAAAACTGGAGGAAGCAGCATTACTACACCTGGTGCTGTGTCCTGTGCTCAGTCATGACTGACTCTTTGCAAGCCCACGGGCTCTAGCCTGCCAGACTCCTCCGTCCATGGGATTTCCCAGGCCAGAATACTGGAATGGGTTGCCATTTCCCTCTCTAGGATATCTTCCCAACCCAGGGATCGAACCCATGTCTCCTGTATTGGCAGGCAGATTCTTTACCACTGAGCAACAGGGAAGCCCACACTACAACTGTTAGGGACATCTTATTTTTCAATTTGTCCACGGGATGGTGGGAAGAACGCTGGTTGGACAGTCATTGGACCTGGGGTCTAGTTTTTACTTGGCACTGGCTGATCATTTCATCTTGGATGACTCACTTCTTTTCCATAGGTTCAATTTCCTTCCTTGATATGATGAGATGATCACTAAGGCTTCTTCTGGGTCTGAATTTTCTGAGAAGTGGAAAGCTGAAGCAGAATGAGTGAATCACTTGGTGAACTGCTAAGTCCTGTGCATACACACTCAGTGGAGTGTCTGCTAGAAAGTCTCTTAATACCACTATTACAATCTACTCTCAGGGTTGTATAATTGTTTGTACTCATGGAATCAATAATTCCACCTCTGGGATCTCCTCATAAAGAAATAAACCTCTTAGGAAGGAGAGAATAGTTACATAACAACAACAACAACAATGAAAGTTGTCTGTTATGTAATTCAAATTCTGATTTAAACTCAATGTCCAACAGTAGGAGAATGGATTGGAAAAGTTGGTAGGCTGTTTCAAAGTACCAAGAATTACATAGAAAATGCTTTTAAAGACACAAGAGAGCAAAATGTATTTGTCCTGTGGATTGCAAATATGCCATAAACTAGTAAAAGTAAGAGGAGTGAATGTCTGTGGTATACCTCTGTCGGTCAGGTACTATACTAGGCATTTGGCTATGTTAATTGTCTCACTTATTCTTTTAAATAGCTGTGGGGATAGGTACTATCATTACAAATTGACAGATTAGGAACCTAAGTTTCAGAAAATAACAGTCGTCACTTACTAGACCAAAGAGAGCTTAAATAAGAAGACAGACCATCACTTTACTCAACCCTACCTGGGAGTAACAGAAACAGTATGGACCTAACAGAAGCAGAAGGTATTAAGAAGAGGTGGCAAGAATACACAGAAGAACTATACAAAAAAGATCTTCAATGACCCAAATAACCACGATGGTGTGATCACTTACCTAGAGCCAGACATCCTAGAGTGTGAAGTTAAGTGGGCCTTAGGAAGCTGTCACTATGAACAAAGCTAGTGGAGATGATGGAATTCCAGTTGAGCTATTTCAAATCCTAAAAGATGATGCTGTGAAAATGCTGCACTCTATATACCAGAAAATTTGGAAAACTCAACAGTGGCCACAGGACTGGAAAAGGTCAGTTTTCATTCCAATCCCAAAGAAAGGCAATGCCAAAAAATGTTCAAACTACTGTACAGATGCCCTTTTTCACATGCTAGCAAAGTAATGGTCAACATTCTCCAAGCTAGGCTTCAACAGTACATGAACCAAAAACTCCCAGATGTTCAAGGTGGATTTAGAAAGACAGAGGAACTGTCCCACACTATCATATTATTCTGCTTTGAGCTGGAATTACCTATCCCATTGGAGGTATCAATTCTTTGGCATTCAGTCTTTTTTATGGTCCACCTCTCACATCTGTACATGACTATTGGTAAAACCATAGATTTGACTGAGCGCCGAAGAACTGATGCTTTTGAATTGTAGTGCTGGAGAAGACTCTTGAGAATTCCTTGGACAGCAAAGAAATCAAATCAGTCTTGGACAGCAAAGAAATCAAATCAGTCAACCCTAAAGGAAATCAACCATGAATATTCATTGGAAGGACTGATGCTGAATCTGAAGCTCCAGTACTTTGGCCACCTGATTCAAATAGCCGACTCACTGGAAAAGACCCTGATATTGGGAAAGATTGAAGGCAGGAGGAGAAGGGGACAACAGAGGATGAGATGGTTGGATGGCATCACCAACTTGATGGATTTGAGCTCAAATCTATGAGTTTGAGCAAGCTCCAGGAGATGGACAAGCCTGGGGTGCCACAGTCCATGGGGTTGCAAAGAGTCAGAGAGACTGAACAACAGCAAAGATAGAATAGGTGCAACAGGCAACTCAAAATGTTCACTGCTCTGCACATGTCTGTGAATGACCATGAAACTGCCATGTGTATTGTTTGGGGGTTACAAATAAATTTTAGGAAGCAGGTAAATGCACAGACATGGAATCTATGCATAATGAGAACCAGCTCTACGTTCATTCATTTGGCAAATATATATGTGTATCTATCATGCCTGACCCTGTTCCAGGCATTGGGGATTTAGAGGTGAACAAAACAAAGTTCCCAAGTCCATGGTTATAACTTCCTGGGGGAGGGTTAAATGCAGATAAATACATCATGGTCAGAGCGTGACTATGGCGATAGACTGGTTAAACTCAAGAGGGCATTGGGGACAGATAGGTGGAGGGATGGCTATTCACACAGGATAGTCAAGGGAAGCCTGAGAGCTAACATCTGAACACTCAAAGCCATCAAGCCACGTGGACATGTGGGGAAGAGCAATCCAGGAAGTGGGAGCAAGAAGTGTAAAGATGCTGAGCTGGGGGCCAGTGTCACTGGAGCCATGATGAGAGAGGATATTAGAGTGGGCCAAAAAATGATGCTGAACTCTCTTATTTCAAAACCTGGGCTCTTGGAAGGAACATGTTTCAAAGATGTTCTGGACCAGCACTGGACCTTTCCTAAGTAATCATAACGTTGGCAAAAGAAAACAGCCTTGTACATTTTCTCCTGAGAAGGGCTCAGGGAAGAGCCAAAGAGAGGATCTTTGCAGAGGGATGCAGGCTTTACCAAGCTCCCCCAGACTTCTGCTTCATCTCAGGTTGGGTTGCCTGGCTTCCGGAAGTGACCTAAAATTAGCCTGGACTTGGGTGTGATCTCTAGGAGACAACAAGCCCCAGGCCTGCAATATGGAGGATAATTTCATCAGCACTTGTAGACTATCCGAGGACAGTCACAACAAACAAAGCATCCCCAGGACAACAGGAGGAGTGGAGGTGGGACACGCGTCCACACAGTGAGAACAACTTGTGGAAAATGCTGCTCATCCACTGTCACATTCTGCTCACAGCACTTGTGAGAATAGTACTGTGGCCCAAGCTGGAGGCAGCTGGAAAAGCCGTCTGGAGTTAAAAGTCCGGAGACTCAACCCTCCCTGCTGTTGGGGAAACTGAAGCCCCGAGAGGGAAAAGGGGTGGACTTTCAAACAAAGATCCATGGAGTGGCTGATCCCGGACTAGAATTTAGCCTTGTTGCCAGACTGTCATTCTGGACAGTTAATACTAGAATTTAGGAGGAGAGATTTGACAGAATTCCCGTTTGTGGAAAAGCCATTCATTGTACCAGCTGCTGTGTTTGTGCTCAAACAAACACAGCACCAGTCTCTACAGTTCAGTTCAGTGAACGTTTCTTTGTTATTGTTGTTTGTTTCAGCAGGATCACTCAGCATCTGGCTCTGTGAGCACCCCATGGAAATTTATGTGGCTGTAGTGTGAATCAACCCCAAGAGAAATGTTCTCAGTAGCAAAGGTGGTCACTGTCAAAGCAACAGAGTCAGGGGAACTAAAATGCTATCCCATGCTCTTTAGTCTAACAGGAATGAATCCTTTTGTAGCTTTTGTCTGGACGTCTGTGGTTTGCTCTCTTTGGTTACAGATTTCCCCAATCCTCTGTGAATCAGGAAATCTCCAAAGAGGTTGAATGGGATTGGTCAGGACCAGGGTATGCTGGTAAACCAGGTCTCTAGAGGATGGGGAAGGGAAGCCCCGATCTGTTGTATTTGCCAGAATCTGTGTCACCATGGCAGATTTCAGGCTATCATTGACTTAAAGGCAACCTTGCAGAGTTCCTGAAAATTTAACAATCAGTTCTCCTGAGCCTGCTCAAGCCTCTCTAGCTCTCACTGCAAGCGGGCTGGGGGCGGGGCCGGGGAGAGTTGTGGTTGATCCTGTTTAGTTCTGTGAGGTCAGACCTCACCTGAGAGGGTGTGTCTGGTTTCAAGTCTGAGATTCTAAGAGCGACACTGACAAATTGAAAAAATTTTTTTTTCTGGGTGGGGGGGCGTCGGGTAGAGGGAGCGGGGAGCTTGGTTGGTGGTGAGCTAGAAGCAGTCTCATCTAGGAAAAAACTACTGGGGGGGAAGGTATTGCTGGGGTGAGAATCCAGAAGAAGAAAAACACTGGGTGTTTGGGTCTTTGTTTCCAGATCTCTGTGGCGCAGTGACTGACTGGTCCTGGGCATGGGGGGAGGTGTCCAGAAGTGGGAGGCTGATTGAAAGGCAGGGCTCTGCGCACTGCGGGGAGCAGTTTCGCACCAGAGGAATCAAGACGTGGGGCAACCACTAGGTGGGGCTCAGGCGATGGGGACTCCAGGGCCCTTCCAAGTCCGTGGGGGCCGATCCTGCTGCCAAGTCC